GGGCCCGCACCGGCCTAAGGCAGCCGAGGGCAGAGCAGACACGGGGTGGCGGGGGGCAGCCTTGCCTGGCAGACACGGGCAGGGCAGCTCGCGCGCTTTGTCCTCAATTAACTCCCCGCCCAGTCCCGCGGGTGTCTCTCTCCCCAGCACTGCTGGTGCGGAAGGCCGGGCAGCCTTGCCTGGCAGACACGGGCAGGGCAGCTCGCGCGCTTTGTCCTCAATTAACTCCCCGCCCAGTCCCGCGGGTGTCTCTCTCCCCAGCACTGCTGGTGCGGAAGGCCGGGGGGGGAGCCTGGCCGCTGTGGGGCCGGTTGCACGAACGCTCTTTCGCACCTGCCAAGGGTGGGGAGAAGGGGCGGCTTTCCCTCCGCGCAGTGTTCCTTAGCGGACAGGAGCGAAATCAACCCACGCTTAGAGGCCGGTACTGATCGCCCTGCTGCGGTTCAAACATTTCCATCAGAGCTTGTGAGAGTCTTGGCCGCCTCCCCTTCCAGTCCTGTGCCACCCCTTCCCATTGCCAACACTAGAGTTTGGTTACGTGAAAGTTTAATTGTAGGGCACTGTTAACCAGCAGGCAACCCAACTTCTTAACGCTTAGTTGAATCAAGTAAGTCCCTGAAGATTGAAAATTCTAAATTGCCCTCCTGCACCTTGTAGGAAATGTCACTACCCGAAGGCTGACGTGCTGTAACCATCGACTGTGGTTCCATTAATCTTCAGATGAGCTCCTCTGTAATTTCAAGATTCAGCAATCCTGAGAAGCTGTACACAGATAATGGGGATTCCAAAACAGCCTTTTTTCAGGGGTAGTTTAAATTGCGCACCAACAATTACCCTTAAGATTGTTTTTTGCACAAAAGAAAGGAGAAGAGCTGGAAATGATTGGCTTCCTGTAGCTGATACTTCGGGTGGTTCTGTGGCTATCGCAGACCTATGCTACACTCAATATTGCATTGATTTATAAATCAATTGCTTTCCTAAAACCTTCCAATGCCAGTCTGTGTGTGGATACGTATAAAAAAAACAGTGTGGTCACTTTATTTGAAAATAAGTCAATGCCTACACTTGCACAAAGTAACTAAGTTTTTATTTTTTTATTTCAGCTCAAAAAATGTGTTGATCAGCCCCTCATCTAAAATATACACCTTGCTGTAAGCACATATCTCA